CCAAGAATATATCCTTATACCCTTTCTATTGCCAAAGTATTGCTGTATAAAAATTGTGGATTTCTGTAACTCAGGGTAGAAGAATAAAGAGCATGCATGATTCCAGTAGCAACCATGCGTTCCTCTATTACCTCTTAGATTAGATGCTTTCTAAATTCCTTTTGCTAAGCTGTAGCCTCTGACATGAACCCTGGGAGGTAGTTTTTGAGCTTGATTCACAAGCTACCAAAAAGAACTAGTTCAAATTCCAAGATATTTGTAATTGCTATAATAGCAAGAGAACCATGTTTGCGAACAAGAGATATGCAAATCTTCTTCCAGATTATTCTGCCATAAATATCTCGGCAACTGTAAGATAAATGAAAAGGATACTGATTAGATTTGGTTTGTTGATATCCTAGCTTTTCCTTCTCCCGGGGTCCTGGGCAACCTGGCCCTGTTCCTTCTCCCTACTCCTCTCCTCCTGTCCGGGTGGTTTCTCCTCAGCAACTGCCTTCACAACAGCCTTCACCTGGGCCTGTGCCTTCTCCTTAGGGAAACTTTCCTGGTCATGTGGCCTCTCTAGTCCTCCGGGTTTCTCCCCGCCTCCAGGATTGCTTTTCTCCGAGTGACAAATTAAATGTTATTTTTGTTATACTGTATGTATATTTCTATGCTTGTTTGGGGTATTATGTTTATACAACTCATTTAAAAATATAATGTATAATTATGCAGATTAGCCAGGTGTTGGTGGCACATACCTTTAATCCCAGTACTGGGGAGGCAGAGGCAGGCAGATCTCTGTGAGTTCGAGGCCAGCCTGGTCTACAGAACTAGTTCCAGGCCAGGCTCCAAAGCAAGACAGAGAAGGCCTGTCTTGAAAAACCAAAAAAAAAAAAAAAAAAGGAAAAAGAAATGCAGATTAATAGTCATCTGTAACAGTCAAACTTACTGTCACATTAGGTATGTCTTCAAGGTGATAAACATATGTTTAGATAGATGGTCTTCAAATACTTCGACGGCATAGAGAATATAGCATTTAATATGTTTAATAACCTAAGGCTTTTCTTGATATCGAGACATGTCTCCTCCTGGCAGCACCAATCTACTTCACAGAAGGTAATGGGTGTCAAAGAAACTCCGCAGGGAGCTTGTTTTCTTTGTGCCAAAAGCTACCCATTAGGGCAAAAAACTACCTTTGCCTCAATTGCTGACAAAATTCTATCCAAACTGGATCAGCAGGACAAAAGAAACTGACTGCCAAACTTTCCCAAGGCAAGGTAGGATAATACTTCCAAATTCCCTGCTTCTTAAAAAAAAATCTGTCAGTTATACTAGCCTGTAGGTCAAATTTGGATGCTCCAACCTTACAGAAGAACTTAGGGTGACTGTTCAGATGGCCAAATGTCACTGTCAATAGGTAGCATTTCACCTTTCTGGGGTCTTTGGCAGAGTTGAAGACTAGGTAGTCATAGGTTTCTTTAGCAATGATAGAAGGTAAATTAGGTATAAAACTTTAGATTCACTAAGATAAAATAGATAATAGAATATTTTCTCTAATTTTGCCAAATACAAATGTACTGGATATTATAACTGTAATTCTTACTGTTTTGTTGTAAATAATTTTGGTGTGATAATTAGGGAGTGTTGTAACTTAGAAAAAAAAAAGTACCACAAGAAAAAGGGACAGTAAAAGGGGGGAAGAAAAGGGCGGAGAGTGGCCTCTGGGGACAGGAACAGCAGCAGAAGAGAAAAGAGGGGATTAGACAGGCAACACGCAGAGAGAAATGACAGAGAAACAGAGGGAAATGGGAGGAAAGGGGAACGTAGTGAATATGCACAGGTGGTGCTCTTAGTGGCTGTAGCTGAGGATGTATCCTGTCAGAACACCAAGGGCAGACCAATACAGATGCCTGAATACTAACAGGGAAGGCAGCTGGAATGTGAAAAAAAATTCTCTCACTCTTCCATACCTCACCATATTTTTGCCCACCATATATTTGCCACGATAGTGCCAGGATGCCTGTTGCCACAAGGTTCCCGGTGGTTCCATGGTTTCTCTTCAAAGTCCAGGGAGGAGAGTTCCTTGCAGGAGCATGGATCTTTTCCTGCTCAGTCTTAGTGGCTCTCAGCATGCTCATGTTTTCTCATTGTGGTCCACGGTGGAGAGCCAGGAAAATTTATTTCTATAACACAATGTAGAGCAGCTTCTTTTTTGAATAGAATATGGAATGCACTTAACTGCTTTAAGTATTGGGCTAACAAAATGAGCTATAACAACACGTATTTTAGGAGCTAGGTATGGATTTGGTGAGCCTTCAATTTTAGCATTTGACAGGCAGAATGTGAAGGTGGGTTTCAGAGATACCATGACTAAGACAACTCTTATAAAAGGAAACATTGATTTGTGGGCTTGCTTAATTTCAGAAGGTTAATTTATGATCAAAAGGACAGGATTTATGGTGGCAGATGGGGTTGAAGCTTAAAACTACACCTTCTAATCCTTCCCAAAAAATCCGATAACTGGGGACCAAGCATTCAAATACTTAAGAACATGGGGGCCTTTCACATTTAAACTAGGACATTCCACACCTGACCCACAAAGGCCGATGGCAGTACCTAATGAAAAATGCATTCAGTAGAACCTCAAAAATCCCTATAGTCTGTCACAGTTTCAACTTCATTTCAGGGCCCTATTCTGAGACTTAAGTCAATCTCTTAACTGTAACCCTCCATAAAAAGAAAACATGCTTCCAACATACAAAAGAACAGAATATGCATTATTATCATTGTAAAATGGAGGCACAAGGTTATAGCAGAGGCAGGCAGATCTACGTGAGGTGGAAGCCAATCTACTCTCCAGAGTACAAGCCAGCCTGTCTCAGCAAGAAAGAAACAGGAAAAACAAAAAACAAGAAATTAAAGGTATATCCTCTACATTGATTGCCTCTTCTTCTCCTCCTCCTTTTTTTTTTTTTTTCCAAGACAGGGTTTCTTTGTATTGTTTGGAGCTTGTCCTGGAACTAGCTCTGTAGACCAGGCTGACCTCAAGCTCACAAAGATTTGCTTGCCTCTCCCTCCCAAGTGCTGGGATTAAATGCGTGCACCACCAATGCTGGGCTTCTCTACATTGATTTTAAATTCTCTAAAATGTACCTTTCAGTGCAGTGATAGCACGAATATTAGGAGACCGACTGTATTGGTTTGAATAAAAATTTTCCCATTGGCTTATGTATTTGAACTCAAAGTCCTCAGTCACAATGTTTTGAGACTGGTAGTTGCTGGAGCATTGTTGAATATTTTATGGCATTGGTGGATGACTCAGAGGGGGGAAAAAGTTACAAGTCTCTTCATATTTCTCTCTCCATCCTTAGTAGTGGACTCTTTTACTTTTTGAACCATTCACCAAAATAATCTCTTCCTTACATAAATGTCCGTGGTCAGGGAAATGAACTTTTTCCAGAAACATGGACTTCTTCACTGACATCGGTGAACAATTTACAGAAAAGTAGAATAAGAAGAGACTTGGTGTCTTTAATTTTAATAATATTATAACACCCTAGAATCACAGATGATGGAAGGAAAATGTGGCTTGCTCTTGCCATAAGATAGTTGTGTGGATGAGGAGATGCAGATTGCATCTCTGGCTTTCCTTTTTGCCAATTTTTTTTCACAGTGATGATGGGTGTGTTACAAGTGAAGTTTTTGTCTCAGGAGCTGTTCTGTTCAATGCTCTGTCTTATGTTCTCAATAAATAGATTACAATTTTCTCCTCATTTTGTGTTATTTTTAGAAAAGGTGTAAGCACTGCTCTCTTTGCCTTTGTATTGCATCATGTGGAATATATTAGTAGGAAAGGTCTAAAGAGTATTGACTTGGTGCTGCACATCAACCACCACTTTTCAAGCATAAATGAATGTCCCACTTAATTTGGAGGAAGAAGACTGCTTCCACCCTGTGTTTTTCCTCTCCCTGAAGCTACATACTACATATGTAGAAATTCAATACAGCTGTGGCGACATATCTCCTTCTTTACAATGAAGTTTTAAGTATGAGTGTTCATATGCATTTTTTTTGGTTTGTTTGTTTTTGTTTTGCTTTGTTTTTGGTTTTTGTTTTGCTTTGTTTTTTGAGACAGAGGTTTCTGTATTGTTATAGTGCCTGTCCTGGAACACGTTCTATAAATAAGGCTGGCCTCAAAATCACGAAATCCACCTGCCTCTGCCTCCTGAGTGCTGGGACCATCTGCATATTTTTTTGTGTACACTTCATGATATATTATGCACCTGGACTCCTGTGGTAGTCACCAAACCCGTCACATTGTATTCAGGTACTATAGTGAGCTGCTATGTGAAGCTACTTCATGGATTTAACAACCCACACATTCACCTTTTCAATAACAAATGGGAAATTCTTTCACCTTTTAATTATATTTATGTCTGTTACTACTTTTTTTCTTTAAATATGCCTAATGTCCTTTTTACAAGAAGCAGATTGAAAGCCAAGATGCTGACCCATTAAACCTACTACTCTCGGCTCTTGTTTGAGCTGGCCAGTGAGCAGCACTCATCACAGTTGGCACATATCTTTTGTTTCCCACTGATATTATCTTAAAACCAGTCTTTTGCCAGGAATCTCCATGATACAGTGTTCTGTCTGCATATTTACCTGCACACCAGAAGAGGGCACCAGATCTCATGATAGATGAATTAAACTCAGGACCTCTGGAAAAGCATTCAGTGCTCTTAACCTCTGAGCCATCTCTCCAGCCACTACTGAGTTTCTTATAATGGAATAAAAGTAAAAAGAAATAACCAAACAAACAAAAAACAAAAAAGTCTTATACCTGCCAAAAGGATCATCATGAAGAACACACAAAGTACCCTGTGATATTCCTTTCTCTTCTCAGGGTCTAACTTGGTGAGATATGAGACTCATTTACACTGAGCTCACAAAAGTGCAACACATACACACACACACACCTGTTCACAACAAATGGGATCTGAAAACAGAACCAAGTGTAACTTGTTGAGCCAATCATCTTTATTTGTCTTTCTTACAGAAATATGGGGGAGGGGTGCTTTACCAGAGCAAAATTCAACCAGCATGGGACACACCTAATGAATATTGGATACACAGAGCAAACATAGGAATATCTACAGGTTAAAGAGTATCCAGGTTTGGTGACTCAATTTGCCAAATCTTCTAAGGGGTATGCTTTGTCTGACTTTCTTCATTTGAGTGAAGCACACTGAATCCTGTCAGTTTCAGGTATTTCTTGAAGTTATTTTGAGTGATGTATTTCTGGCCTTAATCAGCTTCCTCTCAGGGTGGATCACTTCAGTCTCTAGGAAACTGTTACACAAGAGCATTTTTTTTTCAGTCTTCTCTGTGTTAACTTCATTATGAAGTATGTGAGGTTGAACAAGTAAAAGGTTTAAAGCAAAATTTCCTACATTGTCACATATTTATAATTTCCCTCAACATAACCTCTTGGTTTCCAAGATTAAACGTTTTAAAGAATTTCACAAGTTTCGCCTGTTCATAATGTGTCTACAGTGTGAAGCTTCAAGTGTAGCTAAGGACAGAGCTTGGACAAAGCACATGACAAAGTTTCCCATGGAAACTTTTCTCCCCAGGTATTAATTTTCAGGTGTTTTCTTAGACTTGAGAGACAAGTAAAGATACGACATTCATAAGGTTTCTCTCCTATGAATTCTTTGATGTGTTCTAAGGTTGGCTTTCTGAATAAAAGATTTCTCACACTGACTACATTTGTAAGGCTTTTCTCCTGAATGAATTCTCTGATGAGCTCTAAGATTAAACTTCTGGGAAAAGGATTTGCCACATTCGCTACACTGGTAAGGCTTCTCTCCTGTATGTATTCTCTGATGAGTTCTAAGATAGAATTTCCTGATAAAGGATTTGTCACATTCACTGCAATTGTAAGGTTTCTCTCCGGTATGTATTCTCTGATGAGTTCTAAGACTGCCCTTCTGGGTAAAGGATTTGTTACATTCACTGCATTTGTAAGGTTTAACTCCTGTATGAACTTTCTGATGTCTTCTAAGATCTGCACCATGGATGAAGGATTTCTCACATTCACTACATTTGTAAAGTTTCTCTCCTGTATGTATTCTCTGATGTCTTCTAAGATGAGAGCCACAGGTAAAGAGATTCTCACATTCACAACATTTGTAAGGTTTCTCTCCTGTATGTATTCTCTGATGACTTCTAAGATTGCTTTTCTGAGTAAATGATTTATCACACTCACTACACTTGTAAGGTTTCTCTCCTGTATGTATTCGCTGATGAGTTCTAAGATAGAATTTCCTGGTAAAGGATCTGTCACATTCATTACACTTGTATGGTTTCTCTCCTGTATGTATTCTCTGATGAGTTCTAAGACTTACATTCTGGGTAAAGGATTTCTCACATTCATTACATTTGTATGGTTTGTCCCCTGTGTGGATTCTCTGATGTCTTTTAAGACCTGAAAATGTATAAAGGGATTTGCCACATTCATTACATATATAAAGTTTTTCCCCTGTGTAGGTTCTACCATGGTATTCAAGGTGTGACCATGTATAGAACACTCTAGTACCTTGCTTACATTCAGGAAGCCTCTCCCATCCACTAGTTTTCTGATGTTTTATAAGACCTGTACAGCAGATAAAGGATTTGCCACAAACACTATATTTGTAAGTATGCTCTTCAGTGTGGAATCTGTAATGTCTTTCCAGGTGTGATGCATGAAAAAAGCACTTACCACATTCAGTACATTTGTAAGGTTTTTCTCCAGAATGGATCTTGTAATGAACTTTGAGATGGGACATATACAGAAAAGATTTACTACATTTTGTACATTTATAAGATTTCTTTATAGTATGAGCTCTCTGATGTTTACTGAGGCTTGAGTACATCTTGAACCATTTCCCACATTTCTTGCATTGCTGTGGCTTCTTTGCACTAGTGGCTCTCACTGTGAGTACACATTTAGAGTCAAAACTTTTACCATACTCTGTATTTTTGTGTTCTTCTTTTCCTGTGTGGAGTCTTTGATTTTGACTAGTGATGGAACACAAATCTAAAAAGTTTACACTTTCTCTGTATTTGTAAGGTTCTTCTCCAGTGTCCTCACTTTTATGTCTGTCTGTGTTTAATGATTCAACAGAGGCGTCTCTGTGGTTAAAAAACCAGTCCTCGCAGTTTTCTGCAATGTCCTTTCTGTCATATGGTGTACTTTCAGAAGATTCATGAATAACTTTTCCAAGTCCATTATATTGGGAATGCTTTTCTTGGATATCCATATGACCCTGGACAATGTGCTTTGTACCTTGATCCATAACCGTCTCATATTTACCACATATGCAATGGTTCTCTGGAAAATTAATACAGTTAGGGATAATAGCAATTAATGCATGAGTAAAAGATTCAATTAACTGATGATTTCTAAGACATGAAAACAAGAGATTCCCAGGTATTAAATTTTCATCAAAGTCATTTTGTGATTCACAATCATTAAATGCAAGCTCATAAGAACTTCCACTCTGATATATATGAAGCCACACAAAACAATAATATGCCTTTCATTCTTATATGAAAACTGTACCCTGCAGAAGGTAGGACACATGAGAGAACAAGCAATAAAGAACTTTGACAAAGGAGTTCTCTGAAGGATCATATGAAGAATGTGACTCTTAAGATTCTTGTTCATGATTCTGAGAGAGTCACACTGGGAAGCATTGCTGAGCTATGAGCTCAGTATGTAACACAGGGTGATATGGAATTCAACACACCCTCTTCCTTTAGTATCTAAAGTACTAGGATTCATGCAGTGACAGTTAGTTACTTTTGAATTCTCCATGGTGTTTTGAGGCATGAGGAAGTGGTAAGAAAACTTCCACATTGAGACCATATCTCAAAAATTAAATAAAAAAACTACATTCTCAAAAACCAACATGTGGTGATATATTGTTTATGTTTAAATAAAGCTTGCCTGAACATCAGCATGCAAAGCTAGCCATAATCATGGAGGGCAGGCAGTGTGGCATACACCTTTAATCCTAGGGCTCAGGAGACAGAGGCAGATGGATCTCTGTGAGTTCAAGGCCACACAGGGCTACATAAGAGTGAATCAGTCTAAAAGAGAAGCAAGAGCTCACCCCTTTAATACTAGTACTAGAGAGTTATGTAAGAGAGGAGCAGGGTCTACAGAATTCAATCAGCTGGCAATTAGTGTCCAGCCTCATTGAGGAGCTCCCTTTTAGGCATGGTAGAGGTAAGAAACTGGCTTGACTGCTTTGCATTTCTGATCTTCAGCTATAACCTGAATATCTGTCTCTAGGTTTTTTATTATTTGTGTTACTCCAACAGCTATTTCTCTATTTATAACCTTTTTAACTTTTCAAAATCAGAAATAATTGAATACTTTAATCCAATAGTGAAATAAAACATTTCAATTATTATGTGTACTATAAATTTTTACAATGAATATACAGCTTTTTTGAATTTTGAAGTTTTCATTAAAAATCATGAGGGCTGAATAGATTACACGGAATATAACATTGGTCACTCTTCTACAGAACACAGAAAATGTAAAGGAAACATCATGAAAAAGATACGTTAATAACCAGAATTTCCATTAGTGGTAGAAGTTTCTAGACAGTTCAACGAGTTTATATATACACAAAGGAGGACATAAAAAGGATTAATCAGGGACTGTACAAGAACATTCTTACCCACAAAAACTAGATTTTTGTAATTCTCCAACATCACATCCATGTACAAAGCCCTCTGAGCACAGTCTAGACATTCCCATTCCTCTTGTGAGAGGTCCACAGCCACATCCCTGAATGATAACAGATTCTGTAATGGAAAATTACCTAGTTACCATGTTTTAATTACCATATGCTGCTGCACAATATGCTTTCCTAGGTAAAAGATTTCCAATGATTCACAAGTAGTTTTGTAATTCAGATGAGGCACAGAAATTAATCAAGAATAAAGAAGTTTGAGACACTCCCAAGAGATGTGTAAGAAGTTAAGCATTGTTGCTCTAACATGGACAATATATAAAATGATGTATTATATTACTTACATTCATAAGGTGTTTCTGGTGTCCTCCAAGACCTGAGCAGCAGATAAAGGATTTGCTGCCATGACTACATTTGAAAATTTCATCTAGAGTTTGGACTCTGTAAAGTCTTTTAAAGTCTTTTATAATGTAGTGTGGTTCCCAACACACTCAAAGCACTATACAACAGATTATAAACCTACTTCTATAAGAACCAATGCACTTGTCTAAACTTTAGAGGTACAAGGAATACATAGCACACATACCTACATAATACATTCAGGCAAATATACTGACATTCATAAAATTAATTTTAATTAAAGATACTTTCTAAAATATTCATAATATTTACTGTATTTTTAATCTCTGTGAAAACAGGATGACACAACAGTCTCAAAATCAGTAAACTTTTAGCAATAAGATACACATTTGAGCAGTAGAAATTGGAATATATCTTTATGTTCTGATATCAAACAGGACCCCACTATCACATCTCAGCTGGTCAAGTTATGATGAGTAAAACTATTTTTTTCAAGTTCTATAACTGTTGACCTTGCTCAAGTATCATATATATTAGATCAATCCTGTCTGCAGCTGGGTCTCACCTTACTCTATTCTAAAATGCTCAGTTCAGATCCTGAGGCCCAGGTACAGTGCTCCAGCCTTTCTAGAACAAATATGTAAAATTCAGAGTGCAGAATACACAGATGAATTAAAATCAGAGTTTTTTTTCTTTAAAGAGTAAGCACTGTAATATCAATATAAACATCAGAAGTCCAAACAACACATGAAATCAAATATTTTGTGAAGTTATTTTAGGAGAATATCTTCGCAACAATGAAGTGATTTGAGAAGTCAGAATTAGAGAGCATTAATATTAAATTTTTCTAAAAGTGGACATAAGCAATACAAATTATAACAATTTCATAAATTCTATGTTATCTCACTACAGAATGAGAATGTGTATGTAAATAAAAGGCATCGTGCCAATGACTTCAAATGAAGTAGAAACATTTTCTGTGAATGAAATAATGTATTAAATTGAGTGACAGTTATACTAACTTTTCATTAATTTAGAAAACACTGATGCTCATGACTTTGGGTCAGTTGACAATTTGAATCTTCTAATTTCAACTTTATTCATTTCTTCAGTATTAGAGCTCATTCATCTAACAGTATTTTAGGTTGTATAGATAAATGCCACTTTTATTCTTCCTTCACTGTTGAGAACAAGAAGATGCAAGGTTATATACTGTCTTTGTCGCAAATGTTCACCAGAAATATAAACCTGTGGTCTGAAGAAATGACTCAGGAACTTGCTGTTCCTGAAGATAAATATAATTTAATTCTCTACACACATATGGCAACTCCCTTCAATGCCTTATTTTAGTCCCAAGTATTTGGTACCAACCTCAGGCATCCAGGGGCATAATGTGTCATGCACTATAGGTTAAAATATTCAGATGAACACTCACATAGATATATAGGATATTATTGTAAATAAACAAATAGAACCATCACCACTACTCTTAAGAATTTCTCCCTACAAAAATCAGTTTCAGGGAAAGGAAAAACATAGGGTGGAAGGAACCTTCTTCCTCCAAAAAAATTAAAAACACAGTGAACTGATTAAGAGGGATATCTGTTGATGCTTGAAAACTGATTCTTGATGCACAGCACCAAGTAAATACTGTCTAGAAAAAAATTCTTAGATACATATTCCAAATGATGGAATACAAAGTGGAAACAGTAGTGCTTATGACCTTTATGAAAAATAAAGCAAAAGAGAAAAATAATCATCTGTCTATTGAGAACTTACCACTGAGAATTGTACAGAGTATTTCCTGAGACAATGCCAAAAAGAGAAACCAGTATCATCAAAGAGAAACCAATTTTATGGCAAGAGAAAGATACATTATCCTTTCCAGGGTGTTATCCTGATTAAAGACATTGAGTGTTCTCTAACTGTACCATTTGCATAATGGCTCAGAGATGTCAGTGAAAAGGCGAATTTATTTTCATGTAACCATTCATAAACCTGTGTCTGGAAAACTGACAGTCCTACAAATGCAATTATGAGGCACTTGAAACCTTCCTTCCTCATGAATGTAAAAGGACACAAGTCTATACTATGTAGGAAAAGGCCATCAATATATTTCTATGAGCACCATTTACAGCAGATTCTTCTTCAGAATGGCAGGTATTAATTCCATGAAAATTTATGTCCTCACATTTTAGAATTGAGTGAAAATGTAATGGGCCAAGGCTGTGCTATGTAGATGAATGATCTAAATATTTACTCTTGATTTTCAGAGAAGAAAACAAAGATAAATCATAGACAATAACATTACAGACGTAGAGAATTTCAAAGAAATGAGGACATGACACTGACCTGGGGAGTATTCACCACAGAAACATTCATTGTTCTTGTTGCTCTTCTCTTGGCTTCTTTCTCAGAAACAAAGATTGGTATTCTTGCTGAAACTTCGCATCAAGACGTTGACAATACAAAGCTACAAGTAATAAAACTCTGTTATGGATAATGCCAAACCACATAAAAAGACTTAAAACCAAAATGATACCAGAAAATTATCAACATCCCTACACATAGGAGAGAATCAAAGAACATATTTAGAATGGCGAAAGAAAATAATTATAAACCTTATCATTGCATCCAGAAACACAGGCTCTTAAAATAGCGTGGATCACCAATCAAGCAGCACTGCGAACCATCATTAGAGGAAAAGTGCAGGTAGAAAACTCAGAGAGAAATTATCCATGCGAGCATAGCAAATAATGCATTTTATATAAGGAGTTAATGAATAGAGAAGCACTGGGGAGTAACAGACTGTCCAACAAACAAAACATCAAACTACCATTTCTAACAGGATTGAAACAAACACATGAAATTGGTTTTGTAAGATTATATTTCATTGAAAATGTTTCTAGAGAATTTGAGAAATATAGTATTCCTAACTAATACTCAGAAGCAAGTACATTTTTAATTGCCTCTGCATGTAGTGATGCTATCCCTCTTACATCACTGACTGCATCTTCATGTGAATATTAAATGTTTTCATCATCATTCTATTTTTATCATAATTTTAATATGATTAGTTATAACAATTGATGCCTCTTGGCTTTTCCTCCTAAGAGTTTTGGATGATTTAGTAGTTTCTTCATGTTCTCTAAATTTTAAGCTAGTTTCTCCATTTCCTAAGACAATGCTAGCATAATTTTGATAAGATTTTCTTACTATCCTTGCAGAGTATTAAACTCCACCTATATTGCCTTCCCATTGATAAACCAAGTACTCTGTCTTAATGTTAACTCTGCAAGTTATTCCTTGCTATAATTTTAATATATTTTACAATTAACTCCGGGTTTGATCCTTCTCTCAAATTGTGTATTCTTCTGTTTTGTTCCTACTGTTTCTGTGAGCATTGCAGGTTTAGGGAGACACTTGGCTGTTTAGTTTTTCAATACAGGGTTTCTCTGTGTAGTGTTGGAGTCAATACTTCCCTATTATTCTGCAGTACCTGAAAATGAAATCACATATGTCCTTGGGGATTTCCTTATTGGTGTTGTTGCTTTATTATTTATTGATTTATTGATTGAGGCAAGGCTTCTCTCTATAGACCATGTGGACTTGAACTTACAGAGATCATCCTACCTCTGCCTTCTGAGTACTGTGATTAAAGGCATGCACAACCACCACCACCTGGAGAGAAGACACTTTTTAAACATAGCTATTTACTAGGAGTAAAGAATTGTTTTGGACCTGGGCCACTGCCTATGGCCATATGTAGGTCTGACAGCCAGAGTCTTCCATGACCCATGTTGCCACCAAGGCTGCAGGAATGGCCAGAATGTGGACTGTCACCTGTGGCTATTTTGTTGTTCAAGGGCCATGATGCCACAGGGGTCATGCTGATCAGAGTCACTTGTGCTGGTACTGGGGGACATGAAAACCACGGGATCTCCATGACTTAGAGCAACAACAGGAAATCTGAGGTGAGTTTCGATGAGGGCTCAGTGATGATGGTGCACCAGAGGCCTTGAACCAGACCAATGACCCATTTCAATGAAAATTTTGTGGGTGCAGCTGACTGAACAAAAAGTGTATACTGCTTGACACATGGCAGTTCCTGATGACAGTAGGATGAATGAAGAGGTGGTAAAAAGGTGGAGGAGATAGATGGGGTTTTGGATTTTAATTAATGTTTTTGGGTGGAACATACTGCAGGGGTGTATATGGAGGAGCTGGGTGGTAAGTGGAATTGATGATCATGTGAAATTTCCAAGGAATCAATAAAGAATTATGTTTAAAATTTTAAAAAAGAATAGTTTATTTTTCTGTTTTTTGTTTGTTGTTCTTTCTCCTTTTGAAAAACTTTCTGTGTAGCCCTGACAGTTATGAAATACTCTGTGTAGATCAGGTTTGCCTAGAACTCCAGGATTCACCTGTCCCATCTTTTGAGTGATGGAACTGAAGACTTGTGTCACCATGCCAGGCTGACTTGTTCTGATATGACTACAGTGGAGCATGCTGCTCTAAATTTGAGAAGATGTGGCATCTTATGCTCTTCTATGGACAGTTTTCTGCAGGCCTACTAGGATTTACTGGTTTTCTGTGTTGTTCATGGTCATTTCTCAATATCTGTCTAATTTCCAACACTGCTGATTGAAGAATGTTAATGTCTGTCTAACTTTCAACATTGCTGGTGGAAGAATGTTGAAGTCCCTTGCATCACTGTCCATTCGCTTCCTAAAGTTCTGGCATTGATTTTTT